AATTATGTATTGTTTAGTTTTAGTAAAAATGTTTTAGTGTTTAATACATGTCTTTATTTCTTTTAAGTGTATTGTTAAGCTTTATGTTACTGTTAGTCTTAAGTGGATGTCTGTAATTGGCCCCTGGCTGTTGATGTCTGATTGATAAATAAATAAATAAATAAATATAAGAATTTTAATGAACTCGTTTCTTTTTTGCAAGGCTTATGGTTTGGCTTTTTGTGACATTGTTATTTTGAGTGAATGCTGGCACATTGATAATATAAACCTATTTAACATTAGGAATTATAATATTTACTATAACCATGGAGATATTAATAAGAATGATGGCATGCTAATCTATGTAAGTGAAAAGATTAATACAAAATTCGTAAATATTAAACTAAACAAATCTGGTATTACAATAAGTAAAATTAATTTCGCCATTAACAATATTACCTATGGAATTACATGTGGATACAGACCACCCTCAACTAACACGCACTATTTCCTTGAGGACATAGATAGATTTTTTTCAGACAATCTAAATGAGAATATTGAACTATTTGTAGGTGATATTAACATAAACACATTGAACAAAAATGATTTGCTTACTAATCAGTATCTATCTCTGCTAGGTTTTTATGGCTTTCAAGCTACAATAAAGGGTCCCACACGAGTGACTCTAAAGAGTGCTACTTGCCTAGATCATATTTTTATAAGAAACAAGCTAAAGTCAGGGCTTCTAAAATTTGATTCTTTCATATTGAATGGTGATCTGACCGATCATTTTCCGGTAATGATAAATTTTTATGGGGAACAAGCCGTTGGCAGTCGGAGTAAACTAGTATCAAAAATAGTTGAAAATATAAATCTTGAAACGCTTGGCGATCATTTTGGTCGGGAAAATTGGGTCCATATAATCAACAACAATGATGCTGAATCTGCCACCGATAATTTTATTACCACTGTGCGTCACTACATCGAGCTATCTAAAGAAAAGAGAACTGTTTATTTTAGGGACTATAATAAATTAAAGCCGTGGATAACAAATGGAATTATATCTGCAATAAAACGAAGGGATAAAATGAAAAAAGATATTTTATTAAATAAAAATGCAGCGGATAGAGAAGCATATAGGGCCTATAGAAATAAATTAAATAAAATAATACAAAAACAAAAATATGAATTCTATAAAAAAAAGATTGAAAACAATAAAGGTAACCTGAAAAAAATCTACCAGATTGTCTCCGAGGCTGTTGATGAAAAAAAATGTGGTTCTGCAAATAATTTTGAGATTCTTGACGACAAAGGTAATTCTTTCTCTAATAAAAAAGACATGGCAACCTACTGTAACGAATTTTTCACCGGTATCGGTATTAAAATGCATAATAGAATAGTGACTCCTGATGACATGTTTCAGATTGATCATAACTCTTTAAGTTCCATGTTCCTAAAACCAGTTAATAAAAATGAAATTATTAGTCACATAAATTCTCTAAAAAATAATTGTGCTCCTGGTTATGATGGTGTAGAATCAAGAATTATTAAACATTTTCATTTGCATTTAATTGATCCACTTGTACATATTATTAATCTTATATTTAGCACAGGGGTGGTGCCTTCAGGATTCAAGAAATCTATTGTAACTCCAATATTTAAGGATAAAGACAAATCTAAAATAACTAATTTTCGTCTGCCTAAGAGATAGATTATCAAGCTATCTCTTGTCTAATAATATTTTGTCAAAGCATCAATTTGGTTTCTGTAACGGTCTAAGCACTTCAGATTTAATCTACGAATTGACCAAAAATGTAACAAATAATCTAGATAATGGTAACAAATGTCTAGCTGTTTTCCTGGACCTTGCGAAGGCTTTTGACACAGTTCCCCATGACTCCTTAATTAATGTGCTGAACATTTATGGAGTTAGGGGAGCTGTGCTAGAAGTCTTTGAGAGTTATCTTCGTGACAGAAGCCAGGTCGTTAAGATTCAGGACACTTACAGTGAACCTCTATCTGTGAAGATTGGTATACCTCAAGGCACTGTCCTTGGTCCATTACTCTTCATAACCTATATAAATTCCTTAACGAACTTAACAATAGAGAACGGTCTTGTAATATCCTATGCGGATGACACTGTTATTGTCTTCAGAGCACAATCCTGGGACGAAGTAAAAAATCTAGCAATGTTGGGTATCTCTAAAGTCAAAAATTGGCTTGATTCATTCAAACTCACCCTAAATATAGATAAAACTAATTACATTGCGCTTTCCTTAACAGCTGCTAATCGCCCACCTTTTACCAACATTCTAGTTGAAGGCTTTGACAAAGAAATAAACGAGGTTTCATCTACAAAATATTTAGGAATCATAATAGATAAAAATCTTAAATGGAAAGAACATGTCTCCAAAGTAACTAATAACATTAGAGCACTTATCAGAAAATTTTATGGCTTAAGGGAAATACTATGTACAAAGCTGTTGATATGTGTATATAGGGCACTTGTAGAATCACTACTCAGATATGGTGTGGTTGTGTGGGGTGGCCTTTATAGAAATTCCTTACATCAGTTGGAAATTATTCAAAAATATATTTTAAAAATTATCTTCAAAAAAGAAAGGCGATACCCAACTCATTTACTCTTTTCTGAGGACATTATCTGTGTTCGTTCCCTCTATATTCTTAATATATGCTCATTTGTACATAAAAAAAATTGTTTAAGAAACTATGTAGACCATGCTTATGCTACTAGGACTAAAGTCAATAGACACTTAATAATAATAATAATTTAACGTAGAATTTGAAAATGAAATAAAAAATTAGTGTTTTCATTTAAAAAAATAAAGTTAGTTGTCATAACTTGTTTTTGGGTCACCCTGTATATATGATATTATCATCAAAAAAACGGCCAATAAAATCAAAAATTGACGTGTCCGAGGTTTTTTGAAAAATATCAACCCTGTATATTTTATAGATTTTATTCCAACCTTTACATACTCACTGTTATAATGCGGGTAAGAAACCAGGGCTGGGACTCTGTAACGGATAGAGATAATTATCTCTATCTCTATTGACGTCCCCTCTCTATTGATTTCGAAAAGAGAGAAGAAGACAGCAAGTGCCATAGCGATAGGGATAACGATCTCTATCCGTTACAGAGTCCCAGCCCAGGGCCTTAAGTGCGCGTTCATATTGACACCGCTCGAGCGGTGAGCGTTGCGCGATGCCGCTGTAGTGATGCCCAAAAATAATTTTAACATTATATTTCAAATGAACCTAGTCACACTGAAGCGGCGCGTCCCGCGGTGTTAACGTGTTCACTCGAAATATAATGTTAAAATTATTTTTGGGCATCGCTACAGCGGCATCGCGCAACGCTCACCACTCGAGCGGTGCCAATGTGAACGCGCACTTATTCTTGAAACCAGGAGAACGAGTGTTCCGTCTTTCTCAATGATATGCAACTGATAATAAGAGTAATGAAGACGGAACACTCGTTCTCCTGGAAACGCGCTCCCCTGTTTCAAGAATAAGGACCATGGAACAAGGAAGCTAAATTGGTCGTGCTGTAAAGAAAAATTTCAAATAGTTGTCGCCCTTCTTGAAAACAGCTATAATCTTTGCGGTTTCCATGTATCTGGAAAAATACCTTCAACAACAACTAAGTTGCAAACATGCAGAAGTGGAATGGAAAGGACACCAATGCAGTCCTTCACTATGAAGCTGGGTATTCCATCAACACTGAATGTCAACTTATCCTTCAGCCTTTTACTGGCAGCTATAATGTCCTGAGAAGTTATTGTATGTATATTTGTTATATTTGAGTTAAGCATGGCGGATTCAATTTCATTGTTGGGAGAGGAATTAATATATACACCTCTAAAATAAGTTGCAAATGCATCTAAGGATCCGCGTCTCACTGTTGTTGACCCTCAAGTTACCAGGGATGCTAGTATGTCCCTTTTCACTATTTATAAACGACCAAAAGGCTGAAGGGTCAGAGGCTATGTTCATTTCAGTATTTCTTATATACTTTTTGTATGCAAGGTCACTTTGAGTATAAATAAGACGTCTAAGTGTAGGAAATGTTTGGTAGTAAAACTGTGTTTTATGTTGTTTATAGTCTTTACGTGCTTTCTCTTCACAGAGGAAACAGGGGAAAACAGTTCAGTATCAAACAACTCCGGCTTCAATCACAATTCAGTGACTGAACCGGCCTCTGAATAAGAATATGATGCAGGTCCGTGATTAACTCGCTTTTTATTGGACGTTCACCTGCAACCCATGAGTTGCACGCGCAGTCAAAATAAAAAAAAAATAGGTCAATTAACAAAATAAAATCCGGTAAATTACAGGATTGCAAGAGCAAAAGTAGTTCGCCAATCTTACATGGTAATGATTGAACGTTTAATAAAAATAAACTGGGGAGTGGAAATTGGATTAAAATTGAAAAAAGTCAGTTTAATGAAATTTTCCAACATAATACCATTGGCAAGAGTACTGAAGAAAGTTGGTCCATATCTGGCAACTATATGGAATAGTTAAATAAAAATGGAAAATCCATATTTTTCTTGATGTTGATACATTGTGTTGATATGCTATTGCCAAGGCTATTGTTTAATAGAGAAATGATAATGAGTCGCCATGTACAGTTGAGGATAGGCTCCTCAAACCCAAACAGATCTGATTTTTTTTTTGATTAGGTACTTAGCTATTTAATTTGCTACAGAAATCCTATGCTGTTCTTTTTTTCTCTTTCATGCCTTCAAATAAATAAATAGGAATAATGCTTCTTTTTTTTTATTACTTAATTTTTACAAAACTATGGTTTAGTTTATACTTTACAGTTTTTAATTGGCTACAACTTCCTTGATTCTCCTTCTTAATCTAACTTTTTAGTTTGAATTCTGAATTTTGGGTTAGTTGTTTCACTCATTTTATAATGCATTCATCCTCACATTCATTATTCATATCAATCATATCATATAACAGAAAAATTTCAATAGGTAGTTACTTACCAACATCTTTAATTTGCTTTGCGCTCGGCTTCGAAACTTGATTATTATTTTTATGATCTTTTCCCGAGTGTTTTTCCTTTGTTACTGGTTTGCTAACAGGAACTACTTCATCAGCATAGAAATTTTCAATTTTAACTACTACATCGTTATTTGCGTCACATTTTGCATTTTCTGGTTTTTTAACAAGGGGCTTAAATTGCAACTTCTGCTGTACTAGTTTTTTACGTTTCGGAGTCTCTTTTACTGCAAGTTTTGGTGTCTTAGATGCTGATAGGCTACTGTTAGCTGAAGATGTGCGAGTATTTCTTGGTGTTGCAGTTTTTTTTATTTTGGCAGCACTGAGTGGATTTGGGACTATGCTTTTCCGTTTTCTCTTTTTGGGCGTTAAATCAACTTCGTCCAACATCACTACCAATTTTTTCATTTTCAGTGGCAGTGGAGTATTTTCAGGACCGAGTTCACGATTTTCTGGTTTAGTCGTGATTTTTTGATTTTGGTTTTCATCGAAACTTCCATCGAGCTTGGTAGATTCACTAGCATCCTTATCGATTCCTATAACAACCTCGGGAACCACAGATTGGTCTGGAAGAAAATTCAACACTAGCGTTTCATCAGCATCATTATCTTCCATGGTGTGAGATTTTTTTTAATAGATTGCACTTATAATCAAAATTTAAAACAAGCAACAATATGTATAAATGGGTTTAGAAGCATAACTTAACAAAGATAGTGGTAAAGTTCTCTCAACAAAGTAATTGGTAAGTAACAATTAAAGTGAAACCCGTAATAAGTGTAAATTTCTGTAAAATAATTAAAAATAGAAGCAAAGTTACTTTTGGAGGCAAAAAAAACAAATAAAAAAAAAGAAATAATTAAATCAAAGGAACTTTTGACCAAACCCAAACTTAAAACCAAACATAAACAAATTAATTGTCACTTTGACAAGTATGGCAGGCTCGAAGATGCTACCTATTAACCCTTTTCACGTGGCTCCGGTTAAACAAACCGCAACATACCGCTCAAATTCGAGTGGTAAGGACTGGTAGGTTCCACACGTCACTTTAAGTGTTTTTTCTCGACCCCAGCAGTTCGAAATGTTTATGAAATATGTTTTGAACCCGTTTAAAAATGACGTCATTACTTTCATTCGAGAAAAAACGAGGTTTTCAAACCAGAAGAATTCAGGCCGTGGCTAAAGTAACAGAGGTGTTACTATAATTATTTTGTTAAAGTAACAGAGGTGTTACTATAATTATTTTGTTAAAGTAACATCAGTTCAATGACGTCACTGATGACAACGTTACTTTTAATAGGGGGGTTGTAGTAACAGAGGTCTTAGTCTAATTATTTGTTTAAAGTAACGTCAATATAGCAATATGTAGATAGGTACTTTCTTTAGCAATTTAAGGTAAAGGTAAGATATTCTTGGTTCTTGGCATTTGTTTTAGAGTAAAAGTGGAAATACCTATATAAAAAATAACCTGACTTTGAAGGATAGAATAGAATACTTATAAAACAGGCACTATAGGCAAGGCAGGAAAGACACATTTTCCTATGACCGGTCAGAAAGTGACAATTTTTGACCATCTTTTCAGAGAGGAATAGTATATTACATACCGAGGTGGAAAGTGTTTCATTACTGTCGAGAGATTTAAGTTAGACCGAGGCGCAGCCGAGGTCTAACTGAAATCTCGAGACAGTAATGAAACTTTTCACCGAGGTATGTATACTATTTTATTTACAATCATTCGAATTTTGAAATTTTCATTTGGATTAAAACTAAAAAATACAATAACTAACAATTTCATTTACTTTCGGCCCACGGGTCGAAAGTTTACTTTCGACCCGTGGGCCGAAAGTAAAAGTCAAAAAATACAATAAATTTTAAAAATTTCATTCACTTTCGACCCACGGGTCGAAAGTAAACTTTCGACCCGTGGGCCGAAAGTAAAAGTCAAAAAAGTGACATTTTCGAACTTATTAAAAGTCAGTAAAGTCAACATTACATGTATGATTGTAAATAAAATAGTAATTTCCCCTCCCTAGGGACGAAAGTAAATTATTTTCCTTCCAAGGCAGAAGTTTTTTCGCTGTAGATCATATAGTTTTAGCTCCAAATGAATAAATATTACCTACCTTCATTTGCTGAAACAAAATTCCTTGAAGTTGATGACCATTATTTTATACCGCTTATATAATGATTAAAAATGGAAAACTGATTTTCATTTTGCACACTAATAAAAAAATTTAAAACGATAGGTATCGTCATTGCATAATAAGAGTCTTATTGGAGAGAACTATAACTACACATCCCCTCCCTTATATGGTTTACAAATAGCTATTGGGTAAGGGCATGTGAGGAATAGGAATATGGAGACGCTGTTTTTCTCACAAAAGAATTATATTATCAGTATGTTGATTCAAATTTTTGGTTTATAAAAAATAAAATATTATTGTTATGTTGTTGAATCACCTTCACTTTAAATTGCTAAAGAAAGTACATCTACATATTGCTATATTGACGTTACTGCAACCAAATAATTAGAGTAACACCTCTGTTGCTATAACCCCTATTAGAAGTAACGTTGTCATCAGTGACGTCATTGAACTGATGTTACTTTAAAAAAATAATTATAGTAACACTTCTGTTACTTTAGCCACGGCCAAGAATTCAACCATACATAACCTAGGATTTTTGTTTTTTATCTGGTAATTAGCAATAGGCTATTTTCAGTATTTTCTATTTTGCAAAAAATGTAGAGTGCTCTGTTCATGATTCTAGATTCTATAACCTCCTACAAAAGACACAACACAAGTATAAACATAAACAACAAACTGTCACCTTTCCTAAAGCTATTGCGCATGCGTTTGTTTTTGAACCGATGCAAAATCTCGTTTCAAAATATTTTCAAAAAGTTTTGTTATGAGGTCATTAGTTCAACGCGAAAATGTAATGTTTTGAATTAGGTTCAACCTGGGGCCGGAATTCTCGTTCCTGAAAACGCTCATCGCTTTCTAGTCGCTAGTCGCTTGGCACTTTTAATGTAAATTTAGATTAGAAGTGCCGAGCGACTAAAAAGCAGTGAGCGTTTTCGAGAACGAAAATACCGGCCCAGGTTCGACCAATTTAAGCGAGAAAAAACACCTTTTGTAACCGGGTTAGGAAACGGTATGTCATTTCTCTAACCGTTCTGTAACCCGGTTAACTCTTGGTGGGGTGGATTTTAGATTCGAGCTCGAACAGTTCCTATTCAAATCGGAGCAATATGAGTTTATCACGATCACGGCGGTTCCGATCAGCATTCCATTACTTAAGGGCCCCATACACTACGGTGAAACACGACGGTTTTCACCGCCGCGAGGAAACACTTCGTGCCAAAACCGAAGTGTGTGGTAGAAAACCGTCGTGTTTTTCTACCACACACTTCGGTTTTGGCACGACCGACGTGTTTCCTCGCGGCGGTGAAAATCGTCGTGTTTCACCGTAGTGTATGGGGCCCTATACACTACGATGAAACACGACGGTTTTCACCGCCACGATGAAACACGTCGTTCTAAAACCGAAGTGTGTAATAGAAAAACACGACGGTTTTCTACAGGGCCCCATACACTACGATGAAACACGACGGTTTTCACCGCCACGATGAAACACGTCGTTCCAAAACCGAAGTGTGTGGATGAAAACCGTCGTGTTTCATCGTCGGTTTAAAATTCAGTCCGAGCTTGATTTTTGGCACGACGGTTCAACATTTCGTACACACGAACGGTTTTCTACCCCACACTTCGGTTTTGGAACGACGTGTTTCATCGTGGCGGTGAAAACCGTCGTGTTTCATCGTAGTGCATGGGGCCCTGTAGAAAACCGTCGTGTTTTTCTATTACACACTTCGGTTTTAGAACGACGTGTTTCATCGTGGCGGTGAAAACCGTCGTGTTTCATCGTAGTGCATGGGGCCCTGTAGAAAACCGTCGTGTTTTTCTATTACACACTTCGGTTTTAGAACGACGTGTTTCATCGTGGCGGTGAAAACCGTCGTGTTTCATCGTAGTGTATGGGGCCCTTTAGGTCTGTTTTGCAAAAATCACAAACCAGTCAGAGTGAATTTCATTGGTTGAAACTTGTTTTCTCACTGTTTTCAACCAATGAAATTCGCTCTGACTGGTTTGCGATTCCTCTAGAAACAAACCTATTACATTTCGGAGGATCTTGAGTCCATAAATCTCGCACCCTTGTTCTGAGTGCAAATTAATAAATATTCCTCTTCCTGAAAGAATTGGAAAGAAAGAAATACAACTTTACAACTACCCAAAGCAACCACCGATCGTTCTTGCACCGTTACTGGCACATACCACCTTTCTGAACACGGAACACGCCCCTGGCAGGGCTAGTAAAATAAACATAACCAACAATTTTTTTCCAATAAAAAAAAGTTATTTCTAATCCAAACTGTTCTAAGTTAAAAAGGCAAATTGCCTCGTACACAAGCAAACAAATTAAAAAGTCCCTGTAAAAACAGAATATTATGGAGGAAGCGTTAAATGAGTTATTAAAATTTGTTCAAATCGGTGCACGGTTAGATTTAAAAGCTGTAGCTGTTGAGCACATTTTAGGTAAATATTCCACGTTCAAACTTCTAACATTATTATCTTTGTATTTTCACATTATATGTTTGTTAAGGTCTCACTGGTACTCCTGAAGGAACTGAAGCTGTAAGTAACAAGCCCCAGCTTCTAACAGCTCTAATAAGTCTATTAGAAGACAAAACAGTCCCCATATCGAAAGATGCAAGTTTATGTCTGGTGAATATATCGGCTAACGAAAGAGGGGCTACAGCTCTTTTAAATGTTGATGTGAATGCTAATTGTCCGCCGTTGCAACTACCACCACAACATATTGTGACACAATGTCTGAATCAAATATTTAACGAACAAAGCAAAATAGCTGATCAGTGTTGTATGATTTTATCAAACTTGTCCAGGCCATCGCATTTGATTGAAAAAGTTATTGATGTTATAGAGGCAAGTGGTAAATCCTTTGATGAACTTATAAATATATTTACCAAAAAGGAATTTAATAAAAATGCTAAATTGCATTATTTGGGGCCTGTTTTATCAAATTTGTCACAAAGTAGCCATGTCAGGAAGTACATATTGGACAAGGAAAAGTGCGTAATACAAAGATTGTTACCTTTTACAGAATATAAAGATTCATTAGTTAGAAGAGGAGGTATTGTAGGCACCCTTAAAAACTGTTGCTTTGAAGATAATCACCATGAATGGCTGTTAAGTGAAGAAGTAGATATTTTACCAAGATTACTACTTCCTCTGGCTGGTTCAGAGGAATTTGACGAAGAAGATAATGATAAATTACCTTTGGATCTTCAGTATCTTCCTGAAGATAAACAAAGAGAAGAAGATCCAGACATAAGGTGTATTTTAATTGAAGCCATCACCCAATTATGTTCCAAAAGAGTAAACAGAGAATTTGTCAGGAATAAAAATAGCTATGTGATTTTGAGGGAGCTACATAAGTGGGAGAAAGACAAGAAGGCTTTGCTTGCCTGTGAAAATTTGGTGGATATCTTAATTAGGTAAAAAATTAAATTGATTATTATTGTTTTGTATTTATTTGATGTAATTTTAGGACTGAAGAAGAAATTGTTGAGGATAATCTCAAAGAATTGGACATTCCGAATGATTTGGTCGAAAATTTCAATAAAATGGATAATGAAGCTTTGGAAGAACAATCATAAGTTTTTATGGTCAATTGAAATAAATATGGAAAAACTTCCAATTAAAAAACTCATGCAATTTTTTATTAATTAATTTAAAATTTTGATTGTAGGGTGGGCCAATTTGGACACTTCCTTATGGAAACACCCTTTATTTTTAGAGATAGAAAAAAATCAACCCCCCACTCTGAGGCTCAAATTTCATGAAATTTTGATTGGTGCAAACCGCTTTTTGATATCTTCAACCATTTAGCCGCTAGAGGGCGATTCTCGATTTTGAGCAATATTGTGAATCCTTCATAACTTTTTTGTTTATGAAAATAATTGATTTTCGTAAAAACTTTCTGGAAGCACTTTTTTTAAAACAGAATTCAGGGACGTTCTCAGTTTTTTTCTATTTGGCGCCGATTTTGAGATATTGACCAAAGTCTGATTTTTTTCAATGGGACACCCTTTATAATAATAGCTCATTGCAAAGCTATGATTTTTCTAATTTTAATGATATAAAGTTCAATAGGTTTATCTCTAACCGTTTTCGAGAAAAAAAATAATTTCGATTTTTCTCATAAGAAGACTTTGACTCTGTAAGGAAAATGAAAAAGGTCTCTTTCTAATACATTGTTTCTTATGACAAAAACCAAAAATTTTTTTTTTCTCGAAAACGGTTAGAGATAAACCTATCGAACTTTATATCATTAAAATCAGGAAAATCATAGCTTTGCAATGAGCTATTAATATAAAGGGTGTCTCATTGAAAAAAATCAGACTTTGGTCAATATCTCAAAATCGGCGCCAAATAGAAAAAAACTAAGAACATCACTGAATTCTGCTTAAAAAACTGCTTCTAGAAAGTTTTAAAGGAAATCAATTATTTTCATAAACAAAAAAGTTATGAAGGGTTCACAATATTGCTCAAAATCGAGAATCGCCCTCTTGCGGCTAAACTGTTGAAGATATCAAAAAGCGGTTTGCACCAATCAAAATTTCATGAAATTTGAGCCTCAGAGTGGGGGGTTAATTTTTTTCTATCTCTAAAAATAAAGGGTGTTTCCATAAGGAAGTGTCCAAATTGGCCCAACCCAGTACAGCTGCATTCGTTTTCAACATCTGATCAATGTTTTTAATCTGAATCATTCTATTGCAATTAGGGCCGGTTTCTCAATAGTGATTCACCTCCAAGTTAGTTTTAACTCCAGGGCATATGTGTCCAGTTGCTGTTTACCCTGGAGTTATGCTTAACCCGGGGGTGACTTGCTATTGAGAAACCGGCCCTTAAGGAACCTTGCCCTACGAAACCAAGAATATTTTACACACTACACAGGAATCATACTGTGCGTTCGGTATTATGATCTGAGTTCTCTGAGCTTGAATTTATCGTTCGTTTATAAAGTGTGCTCAGTGTAAGCTCATTCGCGTTCGTTGATTAAAATGTCGAGGGCTCTGATACAGCGTTCAACCCGCCATGACAAAGCACCAGTGATGACTTAATACAGCGAAACAACCTTGGGCAGCTAGTCGTTTCTCGCCTTGACGTAGAGGGTGTTTGCAGTCATGTCTGTTTCTGCAGAAATCAAAAACCAGTCAGAGTGAATTTCATTGGTTAAAACCAGTTTTCTGACTGTTTTTAACCAATGAAATTCGCCCTGACTGGTTTGTGATTTCTTCAGAAACAGATCTATTGTGTTTTCACCACAGGTTATGATTCAGCGGGCGTTTGCTTTATGCAATCTTGGGTCAACTACATTAATTAACATTCTAAAAAAACTCTTTCTTAGATCTCATCTGCATCTTCCTCTTCCCTATTATGTTAATCAAAATCAATAATTAAATAATATTTTACATCGTAAATAATAAATAATTAAAATTCTAAACTGCCACCGCTGGCGCAAACAGCTGACGACTTAGTTAATGACGTTGGCAATGGTGCTACACTTATGACCGCCATTACCAAAAACGAGGCCAATAAGCAATCATTTAAAGGCCGGTTTCTCAAGTCAATAGCGAGTCACCTGCGGGTTGGTTTTAGCTCCAAAGTAAGCGTGTCCAGTTGCAAACCCTGGAGTTATGCTTAACCCGGGAGTGACTCGTTATTGAGAAAACGACTAGTAGTATGTATTATCCTTGGGATAGCCTATCCTCATAAGGTCTGTGTAGTTCAAATCTCAAGCCCCCAACCACGCCAAAGAACCACTAATACCAGTGATGACGAAGGCAGCGTGTCGTCTTTTGCCTTGACGTAGGGTGTTTGCAATTTGCACCACAGGCTATGGGTTCCGCTGGCTTTTGCTTTATGCATACTTGGTTTTTAGAACATTAATTTTTCGACAACTTGAGTGGTATAGAATACACGGCTTATTTTGCTCCTAAGAAATTTTAAATTTAAAGTGGTAAAAACTGTGCAAAAATTTGTGGTTTTTGAAGAAAATGTAGAATGAGGTGTCCTCTATGGGAAAATCAGGTTAGAAAAACAAATTTCCCAGAAGATTTAATAGAAACTTGAAATAAGCGTCTAATATTATTGTGTTAATGTGCAATAAACACCTTCATTCAAATTTAAATCTCGACCTAAAAAAAACGGACTGATAAAAACATTTGGTGAAATATTTTTAAAGACATAAAAACTACTGTTGTATTATACCAATAAAAACTTGTCTACATTATGGATGATGACCCCGAGGAAATTATTTGTGTAAAGTGTGAAAAAAGTATTTCTGATGACTGCTTTGAATGTGATTGCTGCCTGGGCAGAATGCACAGAACCTGTGCATTGTTAGGAGGATCAGAAACCAAAGTTATGCCCCTGCAAAAGCGCGTCTTGATGCTTATTTGTGAGAAATGCAAAAAATATCTTATAAGAATGCCTTACATGATCAAAATGATAGATGATTTGAGGGATGAAATTCAAGAATTGAAAAGTAGTATTAAGAATGGGGGCACCCAACAAGGAGAAACATACGCACAAATATTGAGGAAAGAAGGAAGAATTGACAACGCACAACGTGTACAAATTAACTATAGTACACCTACTCTAATTATAAAACCTAAAGCTAAACAAAGCTCTGAGAAAACAAAAAATGAGTTACAAACAAAAATAAACCCTGTCCAGCTGAAGGTGGGAATAAAAAATTTAAAAGAAGCTAACCATGGAAATGTTATTGTGAAATGCACCACCAAGCAAGACATAGAGCTATTTAAAAACGAGGCTGAAAAACAACTTAAGGGCCAATATGTTATAGAGACTCCAAAATTGAGGATGCCACGGATCAAAATAGTAGGTTACACTGGTAACAAGTCAGCAGAAGAGATTGAAGAGTCAATAATGGTTCAAAATAACTGGATAAAGCAGAACGATAAACTCAAAATAACATATGTGAAAAAGAACAATTCCAAAAACCAGTCAACAGTTTTTGGGGAATGTTCACCGGAATTATTTAGCAAAATGATTGATGCTAGTAAAATCTGCATTGATTGGGAAAGATTTTCTGTTTATGAAGACCTTAATATAACCAGATGCTATAACTGTCAGGGCTATCGCCATAAAGGTAGCACATGCAATGCGACTCAAGTATGTGGAAACTGTTCTGGTGAGCATGATATCAAGGAATGTTCAAGACAGGAGAAGGCTTGTGGAAACTGTATTTCCGCAAATAACCAGTACAACACAAAATATGATACAAATCATGCGGCATTCGATGCTAGCTGTCCAACCACTAACTACTATTTAAAAATAATGAGAAGCCGTATTGATTATTATGGTTCATCATAATGGTCCTGCTGCAGAATGAAGAAGTTTTAGATATAATAAACCTGGATAGTCGGACACATACAGGAAAACTAGTGGATAGTGAAGAACTGCATAATCAATTGAATAATAAAAAAAAACTAATAAGTGTTTTGCATATTAATATCAGAAGTGTAAATAGAAACATGGATAGTTTACTGCTTCTGATTAGAAGTTTTGATTTGTCAACGGTAGATGTAATAGTTCTTAGTGAAACATTTCAAATCCAATCAATTGATAACTGTAACCTTGATGGGTATGCTATTTTTTACAATGATGCAAAATTCAATCGAAATGATGGGGTAATTATATACATAAAAAATGAATTTAATCCTTCATACTCCAAAAGAGAATTTGATATTTCAAAAGCCACAATAGGCAGAATTACTTTAAAAAAAAATAACATCAGCATTGGCATAACTGCCTCCTATAAACCCCCGCCTATTTCCAAAGTTCAATTTATAAATGATATACAGAATTACCTACAGTCAAATGCAAACAGGAACATCGAAATCTTTATAGGTGACACAAACATAAATATTCTTGATAAAAATTGTGATGATGCATTTGCTTATCTTGCAAGCATGGCCCATGAAGGTTATATTTCATACATAAATACTGTAACTAGACCTGACACTGGTACATGTTTGGACCATATTTTTGTCAAACAACAAAAAAAAAACGGATAAATTAACATATAAATCTTTTGTGCTTGATCACCATATCACAGATCATTGCCCTATATTTCTTGATATAAGTGTGGATTCCAGTATCACCTGCAGTGAGAACAATAAAATCCAAAATCAAAATAAATTTAAAGTAGACATTTTAAAACTGAAATCATTGTTGAGCAAACAAAATTGGAATTTTATAACATATATCAATATCAAATCCTGAAATAGCAACAACCAAATTTATTGAAACATATAAAACCCTAATGACAAAGGCAAAAATTAAAAATAATACTCAAAATGTAAAACAAGTTAAAATTAAAAAGTGGATTACAAATGGAATCATCACTTCTATCAAAAGGAGGGATAAAATGAAAAAAAAACTATTAAAAAATCATAATATACAGCTGGCTAATGAGTATAAACTTTACCGAAATAAATTACAAAAACTAATAAATAAACAAAAAAATGATTATTATAAAAGCCAAATTGAAACAAACAAAAATGACATGAAAAAAATTTACGAAATTATTAAGGATGCAACCTATGAGACCAAAAATAAAAACGAAACGACAAAAATTTTAAATGACGAAAACCAAGAATTTGAAAAGGAACTGGATATGGCAAACTATTGCAATGACTTTTTTATAAAGAATAATGTTAAATTAGAAACCGAGATACCTACCCCTTCACAGCCTTATATTTTGGATATGCCAATCCCAAACTCTATGTTTCTTGCGCCTGTTACAAGAAATGAGCTTATTAAACATATCGCCTCGTTAAAAAATAATAGTGCACCAGGTCTTGATGGAGTGGGTGCAAAACTGATAAAAAATACTCACTCAGAGATTATTGTACCCCTAATGCACATAATAAATTGCATATTTGAATGTGGCACTGTCCCTAGCGCTTTTAAAGTTTCAGTAATTGTACCTATTCATAAATCTGGATCAAAATCTGACATCCAAAATTATCGGCCTATAGGTTTAATAAGCAATTTTGCAAAAATATTTGAGAAGTGCATAAAAGACAGACTACTTTCATATTTTAAAAGAAACAACATTCTTTCTCCAAACCAGTTTGGTTTCCTTGAGGGCTCGAACACCACTGATGCTATGTTTAAACTAACATCAATTATTAATAACTGTTTGAACAGTGGTGAGAGGTGCATGGCAGTTTTTATAGATCTTGCCAAGGCATTCGACACGGTTCCTCATGATAAACTTATAGCCACTCTGTCGCAGTGTGGGGTCAGGGGAATTGTGTCGGAAGTCCTGAGAAATTACTTGCACGATAGACATCAAATGGTCAAGCTTAATGGCATATTTAGCGATAAGCTTAAAGTAGAAATTGGTGTACCACAGGGCAGCGTTTTGGGACCCATTCTCTTTATTGCATACATAAATTCACTTTTAAAAGTAAACATAAATGGGGACGCAATATCGTATGCAGATGACACAGTTTTAATTTTTAAAGATAAAACATGGGAAGAGGTTAGAGCCAAGGTGCAAAATGGTCTAACTTTGGTAAAGAATTGGCTTCAAACTTTCAGACTCCGACTAAATTTAACAAAAACCAATTATATTGCTTTTTCCTTAACATTTGCTAACAGACCACCATTTACATCAATAGCAATAGATACACAAATTATCAAGGAAGTTGCACATACTAAGTATCTTGGAATTGTGATCGACCAATTTCTTAAGTGGAAGCCTCATATAGATTGTGTTTCAAATAAAATTGCAAAATTAATACATAAATTTTATCTATTAAGGGAATTCCTCAACAAGAAGGTATTAGTTATTATATATAAATCACTAGTTGAATCATTGCTTACCTATGGGATTGTGGTCTGGGGAGGGTTATACAAAACTAATCTTGAAAAACTAAATGTCATGCAAAAATATATCTTAAAACTAGTATATAGGAAAAATAAGAGATATCCGACACATCTTATATTTACATTGGAGACCTGTAATATACGTACACTATACATGACTGCAGTAAGTAGCTATGTACAAAAAAATGACTATCTGAAAGACCATATATAAACCATGAACACAGTACACGAAACAACCTTAACCACCACATAAATATACCTCGTAGTTTCAATAATAGCAATCTGACTTTTTTTTCTTATATCGGGCCTAAAGTTTATAATCAGTTGCCAAATAGCATAAGAGGTATTCAGAAGGGAAAGAAATTCACTGAGAAATGTAAAGAGTATATTTTTTCTAATATTGGATCATTCTCAACTGTTTTTTGCTAAATAATGTATGTGACAATTACCTAAAATTAATGTGTACTGTATCACTCAACAGTTTATTTTTTTTTCTTCTTGACTTTAGTAAATTATAAAGAGCTTTCTTTTTTTCTTCACATAGTGACATAGAAGGCACACACAGGGGTTTCAAACACCTAGGTGCCTTGGGCATAACTTGTATAGAACATAGCAGAATACCTGATAGATTAGTTAATTAATTAATGTATTTGTATTTTTTACTAGCCAAGTGCTAAATAAAGTTAAAAGTTATAAGTTAATTAACATTCTAATGGCCGTTTGCATCGACCATCGACCATTTTAAGGAAGGCTTAACGTCAACGATGATCAACGCAGTGAGAGTTTTACATGTAAAAATGTCACGGCGTTGATTATAATGCAGCGACGATAATCAACGCAGTGACAGTTTTACATGTAAAAATGTCACTTCAGTAAGCCTACCATATTATTCTGATAAAAAAACGGGACATTTTTATGAAACAGATGTTTCATGTATTCATAAAAAAAATAGCGACGCAGGCAAATTTTTTTTTTCGGGACCACGCTCGTAGGACGAACCCACGGATAATACACCTTACTACTACAGGATAGCCCTTAGTGAGCTTTTGCACCATTTGTGACGTACAGCATGTCGTTTCTCGCCTTGACGTAGGCTGTTTGCAGTTTGCACCACCGGTTATGATTCCGCGTGCTTTTGCTTTATATGCATACTTGATTTTACTACATTAATTAACATTCTAAAACAACTATTTTTTAGATCTTGTTTGCACTTCCTATTTGCCTATTATGTCAATCAAAATTAAATAATATTTTACTACGACTACGACTGCTGGCCCAAACAGCTGACGTCGCTAACAACTTATTTGATGACGTTGGCAATGGTGATACACCAATATGGCGGCGATTACCAAATACCAGGCTGATAAACAATGTGTTTTAGCGGTGTACAGGGCCGGCCCTACCATAAGGCGAACGGAGCGAGCGCTCCAGGCGCCAGACCTCGGGGGGCGCCTCCGACTCGCTCCTTGGTGATAAAAAAAAAGAGAAATATATGTTTTTGCTTTGAATCCTGTCTTTTCGATATTCTGTTATTCTGCTTGTAAGCAAGCGTGCGGTTATGTTATAGTATGTGAATCCCAAGTGAATAACCTGTTTTGACGTTTTTTTGAGACGCGCACGCGTCGCTGGCATGGTGTCACCGGTGGCACCCCTACACGGTCAAAACAATGATAGATATTTCGGGATTAAATCTTCCAGGAGAAATGATATGTTCGAAGAAGTGCTTATAGTCTATTTCATTGCAGTTGATAGCTCAAATCAAGATTCAGGACCATAAAGTAATTGTAAACCCTATGGTTTACAATGGTTTTATAATCACTTTATGGCCCTAACCCTGGATTTGAGTTATCGACTTCAATGAAATAGACTATAGATAGTGATCAAGGTCATCCAAAAACAGTCCTTCAGACCTTAGTATTAAATAATTAACAAGACTCGTTCCGTATATCTCGACAGCTCTCCGTATTTTTGTAATCATTCCTGTTACGGCGGCGAAAGGTGAACAGAGCTTTAGTGAGCTTAAGTTTATTAAGATGTACCTTAAAGTCCAAGGATGATACACACCTACAGGATTGCTTGTCGGCCTCGTTTTTGATAATCGCCGTCATATTGGTGTGTCACCATTTCCGACGTCATAACTAATTCCGTCAGCTGCTTAAACAGCCTACAATAAGGCGAGAAATAACATGCTGCCTACGTCACAACTGGTGATTTGGCGTGTTGGGGGAAGGGCCGGAGGGGGCGATTTGTTCCACACAGACGTTATGAGGATAGGCTATCCTGTAGTAGGGGAGACTGGGACAAAGCGGATGGAAATTTGATTTTTCTAGCTGGCGATCTTATTATTTAAATAGAAGGTGTAAAAATGCTGTCAATCAAAAGTTTAGTCTCTAATTTGAAAAGGACATTGATATAATGTATCTGAGGTGAAGGTTTTTTATAAAAAAAATTTTTTTTAAAAAAGTGAAAATCATTCCACTTTGCCCCTTCGGTAGGGTAAAGTGGAACACTATACGGGGCAAAGTGAAATGGAAAATTTTGTTCATCAAAGTGGCATATAAAAGCATTTTTAGGCGTTCCAAAAAGTTAAGAAGATATTTTATTCACAAAAATCACATATGAAAGCCTTTTTAGTTTGACTTTCATATGCGGTACATTTTTCATGAGCCCATCTATCGCAGCTACTGCAGCATATCCAGCTTTCTCCAGAACTAGGTTTTAGGAATTCACCATCGCAAAAAATACATCTTGTGTCATCATCATTTTCACCACCTTGTGCAGAAACGTGCTCCACCCTTTTGCGTTTACTATGACAATGTTCCGGTTTGTCTTTCTTTTTGCTTTCGAAGACATTTCTCTTTACAGTGTTAACTAACTTCTTGGGCGTTGGACTATTTTTTTTTTAACAGTTCACGATAATTCCGTTCCTTACATCGAACTGATAGGCCAGATGCCTCGAATCTGATATTTTCAAGCCAAAGTATCTGCTCTCCATGAACAGATAATGTTCAGCAAGCTGTTGCTCTTGTTATGGTGTAAAACCACGAGTAAATCTGCCAAACTTTCTCTTGAAGCTTCCTCAGAAACGCAGTTTTTTTTAGCTCTTTGAAACAAAATCGTTCATGGCACATTAGGTGAGAGCTGCCTGCTCATAACTCAAACGATTTGCTCTAACTGCTGTAATAGCGTTAACCATATCTTCCTCATCCCAAACATGTGTAGATTTACGGACATAAGTCCTAACCATTTTTGACGGACCTCTAAA